TTTAAGCAATTACTTTCATTTAAAAATTCTTTTTGGGAGGTTAACATAATTTGTATATTTAGTTTGATTTAGGCCAATACTTGAGTATTTTTATTAGAGATGAGTTGATCACTTGGCATTATATAAGTCAAAAACACACTAATGAACATCTACTTAGACAAAAAATTTTAGAAACAGTTGATCAAATTGTTAATAAAGCAAAGATGATAGGAAATGTTGACAATAATAATCATGATAAGGTAATTGATTAATTCTTTTGATGCATTGCCATTGATAGGCTATAATTGACAGTTTATAATAAATGATTTCAATATTCTCCTTATTTAATTTTAGCAACAGAATGGCAACAAGTCAATATATAGTCCAATTACAAATTTAATAGCAATGGCAAGCAATCCACAATATTTGGCAAATATGGAGGTAATTTACCATTGATATTATTAAAACATATAACTAAATGTTGGTAAACATCATTGATTTTAATTTGTGATTATTAGGTGATATGGATGCAATGGTTATAATAAAAATTTTCTTAAATGTATATTATTTTTACTATTTTATATTATTTATTTTACAAACAAGAATGAGCATATGTAATGAATCAAAGAGTATTATATTTAAAAAAAGAATAAAATCGGGGGTTTTTTTTTGAAAACTAAAATATTTCATTTTTCAGGTTCGACCCACCCACTTAAGAGTTGATATTATGTTTTAAATATGCCAGCCTTACTGGGATTATTAGCCTCATATAAGGAATAGTTATTTTATTTACACAATCAGCTTATTTTGAACCTGGTTAATTAAAACATTATTTTTTTTTTTTTAGAAAATAAAAAATTAACAAAATTTCCAAGAATTTAATTCGATCGATGTCTACTGTTATTATTATTGTGTATTTCTATTAGATAAGTGACCCTCCGATGCCTTATTAATTATTTAATTATAAAATAGTATATAATTGATAAGCTAATCAACTCATATACGCATGTATATATAAACGTATATATAATTTACCTCGGGAAATTCAATGCAGTGAGTATTCATTTTCATTCCATATAGAAAAGAAGCAAAAAAACTGTTGAATTCATTTAAAGAATCCGAAATGCTTTTAATATTTTCAAAGTTTTGTTCAAAAGCATTGAATTTAGTTTTTAAACTCTTTAATTCTTCTTCAACTAAATCAAATATTTTATCATTCATATTGGAAAAAAAATTTAGATCCTTTTTGATGATTATATGATCAAATACGCGAATTTTCAGCTATTCGAACATTGTTGATCAATTATCAACCAATAAAATTGCAAGAAAATTTCACGATTTTTTTGATATCGCATATTGTATTAATATAATCGTTGTAAAACTAGATTTTTTTATATTATAAAGCTCAAATTCCAAGATTAATAATCATTTGAATTTTATGGAATCTCTTTTAAAAATGAAATTTATTATATTGGCGAAATTCCTCATCAATGTAGAACTTTAAATTGTGGAATAACAATCTTAAATTATATTGAAAAGATAAATCAAGCAAAGGTCAGTTTTGACCAAGTTTAATTTGTTGAATATTATATTAGTTTGTGTCAGTTGATGGAGCCCCTTGGTAGAGGTTGGCACCGTTAACTGGTTAAATATTTTTTTAACTGGTTAATATTAACAACATTACAAATAAAATAGATCTATGGTAAATGATCTAGTGGTTTACAATCAGGAACTGTTATGCAACCATTATTATCATTAACTTTATAATAAATATAAATGAATTGTCATAAATTATTGGCATTACTACTCTTTTTATAACATTTTATACTAATATTGCTGAATTATCTGTTCAAACCATGGATGATCTGTACAATCTGGATGATCCATTCAATTTCATGGATAATTTGGATGATCTGTTTGAATCTGACAGATGTATTTTTTGAGCAATTAACAGATGATGGATTGATTTTTTGAGTTAAATATAAATGACAGATGAACAGATGATGGATATCTGCGGATCACATCTCTACTGAAACTCTGCCAAAACTCTAATAAACAATTAAAGTGTAACATGCCAAAACTTTGCCAATTAATTTCCAGAAGAGTTTTGGCAAGCAACCATACAACCAATAAGTGCCTAGGATTTGTGGAAGTGATCTGCAACCAATTTGTTACCCCAGATGCTTATTGGTTAGGAAAGCAGGGGTAGGAATATTGATTTACACTTGATGATCCTTACAAAACATGTGACAATAAAAAATTTTATCACATTTTTGATTGTAAATTTTTCCTCAAAAACTGATGCTATGGCACAGAAAGTTGTAGGGACTAAGTGTCTTGCACTATTAAGGTTGCTTGCTGAAACCTCTTAATGACTGCTGAAACTCTGCTGATTTGATTTCTGGCATGCAACCATGTGTACTATACATTTGGGATATACAAAGTAATTTGGGATTTGGGATTCTTGATTTAATTTGGGAAGCACCTATAATCTGCAGTAACTAAATTTTTTGAATTGTAATCGATGAACTCAATTGGTTGGTCATTCATTTACAGTGAAATTATATGCAAAAATAAAATTTGCAATTATTTGCAACAGTTATAATTATCTGTGACAGCCATGATTATTTATAATGATAACTACCCTGTGATAGTTACCATTGCCACAAATAACCAATTACAGCAAGTGTCTTTACATTGGACAGTGTTCAATACACCTATGAACATGCTGGACAAGTTAGACATGCTTAATACATATTCAATGCCAGTGTCCAACTGACAACTGTTGAATAATGTTTACCATGTCCAATACCAACTCTGATCATAATGGGCTTTTCCTTTCCAGTGATCACAATCATCATATTTCATCATTGCTTGCCAAAACTCCTCCAGAAATCAATTGACTAATTGTTTATTAGAGTTTTGGCAGAGTTTTGGCAAGGTACACACTAATTGTTTATCAGAGTTTTGGCAGCCACTAAGAAATTTTGGCAAGCAACCTTAATCATGTGTTAACCACTTGATTTAATAAGTGTAACATAAGATGGTTGTGATGATGATTGTAATCACTAGGCTTTTCAATATCACATGTTTCAAGAAGTTCAAGAGTTTCTTTTGGATTCTAGTTATCTATATTCATATTTCCATTGTAAATATTAGAGTTCTCAGGTTGAGACAACCTGTGTGGCCACAGGTTATGATCTGTTTGGGTCAGGTTGAGTCATAAATTTAATTTACCCATAGGTCATAGGTTGACACTATACATGAAGTCGAAATGTTTCAACTTGAGGCAACTACATAGTAAAAATCAGTTTCAACCTTATTTCAACCCTATTTCGACCAGATCTGCAAATGGTCAAAATAGTTTTGACTTCATGTATATTTGACACAGGTCAAGTGTTATATAACCCTTATCTTATGCTGAATGCCATACATAGCTCTTGTTTATATTACTATATATGATTCAAATTTTCAAGTAAATTTCCTTTAAGTATATTTTAAAAATGTTCATTTATTTAAATTTATTTTAATATTGGATCCAAGAATATTATGAGAAATAAGGATGCAAAATAGATTGATATTGCCAAAAAATACTGATAAACACAATGAATGTTATTATAATGCTGATTCATTATACAGTCTAATATATTATTTGCTTTTAACTTTTCATCCTGCTATTTTAATGATAGAACATCTTTATTGGGATTTATATGTTCATTAAATAAATCCTCTAATGTTGAAAAACTAGTTGAAATTTTGGGAGTTTTCAATTACCATATAATTATTTAATTAGAATGATAATGATAGATGGACATTTTATTGTTATTAATATAAGCAATGATTTAGCAGTGGTTTCTTCCAGCTGAGCATATTTCCTAACTAGGGATGTTAAATTGCTTGTCAGTCAGTACAGCTCAATCCAGTTTTAGAATTCAAGCAGATTGAACTTTTTAAAAAACAGGCTTTTGAACAATCAAATTTGAAATAATATAGTTTAAACTTGCTGATCCTTAAAATCCCATCCCACACACCCATACCATCTAATCCTATGATAGGATTAGACAGTATGGGTGCGTGGGATAGGATTTTAAGGATTTGAGTATGGGCTAAAGATTGGAACCATAATTAGCCATAATTCAATTTTCATATGCCACAACTGCAACTGCAATTCAATTTTTATATGCTGCAATTAATTGAGGAGCCATCTTTAATTCCAGGACATACCAAATTCAAATGTGATGGTAGCTTTGGTTTTATAAAAAAACTTTATAAGGAAACAAGGGTAGACCCTATAAAAAATTTGGCATGGAAATGTATGGAAAAACTGTACAGAATTTATATGGAACCTGAAATTCACATTTTTCCATACATTTTCCATACCAAATTTTTTATAGGGAGAGTGTGTATATCATGTGGTTGATGTGGTAAAAAGATCTAGTCCAGCCGGATTGAATAAAACTCAATGCTGTGAAGGTGGAAAGGGTTTTCAATGCTTGGATATCAAATTTTAAGAAACCAGAAATATCAACTTTTTCTTTTTGAAACATCTATTCTTGGTACAGTGAAAGTTCAAAAAGTTGCTAATGGACCTTCTACTGAATTCAATTTATTGAAAACCAAGAAAGCCAACATTTTTGAAGAGATTAAAGCTCTATCTATTTTAGTGTTAACACCATCTCCTTTGGACTACAAAAGGCAAGCCATTTGTGAAAGATTAATACAAAGATGTTACTTGCCCAAGTCCAATCCATACTGTTAATGAAAAAAATATTTAGAATAAAATCACCTCCATGACTTTGTCACTAATTAATTTGTCCCTTGCTGGCATTAAGTTTAATAAATTTAATCTTTCAATGAATATTCCACTTTTTAAAGTAAAAAAATGTTTTTTTAAAGTTAATTTGCATATAAACTTAAAGCCTTGTTGAGTTGCATTATTAATGAATTTAGGATGAAAATTTTAAATTAGACAATTTCGTGATTTTTATGAAAACTTTGAGCTTAGTGAAACCTTCAAAACTCCATTGAATCATGGATTACGTCATTAAGCAAGTCCACTTAAAAT